CCCGATGCTATTCCTATCAATCTCCACATGATCAAATATCTCCAAATTCGTTCTTATACCACAAACTAATCACTTAAATCCCCGTTAATAGTTGGCCCTCGGGTGTGAACAGTAACCGGTGAACAGTGCCGGTGAACAGTGACCCCGATGTGAACAGTAACTCTACTTCCAAAATTGGCCAAAACACTAACTAATTCACGGGACTTTCTCCAAAAATCACAACAACCAACTAACACTCAATCACATAAATCTCACTTGAATTAAGCAACAAAACACACTTAAATCCCTCTTAATTGCTACCGGAATTTCCCCATTTCCTAGCCAAATTCGGACATCACAAGCAGCAACTTTAAATGGATAATTTAAGTCTTAAAAGGCTGTCACATACCAGAATTTACAAGCAAGGAACCGGAGCTAGTAGATTGGGGAAGGCCGGTGGGATCTACAGGGGGAAGCTCACAGAACTACCCAAAATTGAAGGAACAAGAGCAATTAAAGTAAACCCAAGCCACTTCAAGGAAAAACAAAGGGATTTAATGGCTGTTTCTTACCCAAAACCCAAGCAATTCGCCCCCACAACAAGAGCAGCCGGCGGACAGAGCAAAGCAGAGCAGATCTGGTTTTTCCAGCGGGGGGGAAGATTTCTGGGTTCTAGGTGTGTTCTAGAGCAAGAAAGGAAGGAGAAAACCAAGATTATCTCACCGGTTTCTCAAAGGCATGGCTGGGTTCCCCTTTTTTTTTCCTCTCGGGCTGCAGCGGGAAGAAGAGCAGAATCGGGTCTGAGGAGGAAGAAAAGAAAGAAAGAAAAAGAAAAAGAAGGAAGCTGATCCTTATCCTAAAATCTTCCCCTCTTTAAGTCCCTCAAGTTTGGACATTTTGGCTATTAAGCCCAAAACATTATCTTTCCACAATTTAGTCCTTAACTTACACTTAAATATTCCCGAAAATTTGGGATATTACAGCATAGTAGCAAGCTGAGTTATGACTATATCTCCTTGATTAGGACTGGAAGCTGAGTTATGGGCTGAGTTGTGAGGTTGGTTTTCATCTCTCCTTCTACATGTTCAACAGGAAAGAATAGATTTGGGATCTGAGGTGGGAGATGAGGTGGGAGGTTGTTGGGGTATTGACCTCGACCTTGTCCAAGAGGTTGAACTTGATTTCCAACTTAGACAGATTGAGTGTTGACCATAATGAGAAAGCAACAAAAGAGCTTTTAGTTCGATTCCCACAGAAGGCGCCAATGTAATTGCACCAAACCAGAGGTCCTTCTTCAGTCCGCGTCTTCACTCCAGATGAACCTACAAAGCCCCGAGGTGGGTCCTCGGGGTAGACACTTCGATGCTTAAGTTAGCAATAATCGGATCTACCTTTAGAATAATGGAAAAAGGAGCTTTGGGTCAGTTTCAATTACCTTCCTAAGGTGGCCCTTGGGGGTATTTATAGGCCTTAGTGAGGTGTCCACGTGGCTTGCTTAACAAGATAATTGGAGTGTGACGTGTCCCTTCAGGCGATAATTTTGGGACCAAGAAATTATGTAAATTAGGTGTGGGCATGTTCACTGTATTTATCATGCAACCATTTAACCAAGAAGTGCTGGATTTAACTTCACTTCGGTTATTAAGGAACTGTAACAGTATGTTCGAGGTTAGGGACCTCGGACCTATCCTTACACTTCTCCTCCCTAAACCAACTAGTAGCCATCCCTCAAAGTCACCGACGATCGAGCTTCAGCCATACCCAAAGCCGTCGGATTTCTCTCTTCCCCTCCCAAGCGACCTTCGACTTCTCTCTTCCTTCGGTTTCCTCCTTTTCCCCATGCAGATCTTCAGCCTCTTCCTTCTCTTCCCGCTGCAGATGGCTCCTCAACCAGCCAGCGACAATCTTCCCTTTCCTCTCACCTTCTCTCCCTTGTGTAGCCCTTTCTCTTCTGTAGATCCACCAACGACTTCTTTGTTTGTCACAAGCTCCTCCCATGGCTCTCAAATCCGCGAATCTCTACCAAATTTATGGTCATAGGAGAAACTTAAAGGCGAGTCAAAGTTACAATCGATGTGGTTGAAGTTAGATCTGTCAATCGAGAATGGCGGTGATGGTTACATGCGATGGCGGCAATAGTTTGAAATTCGCAACTCATCAATTTGTAATTGAACTGGTCGGAGATCCATCTGCAATTAAAAAAAAAAAAAAAAGGAAGAAGAAGCATGTCCACATGCTTGTAAAAGGGCCAGGCCACTTCCCTTGCGAATCAGCCCAAGAAACCGTCACCGTCGGGCCTTCCACAACAAATGTAAAGTTTGGATTGGGTAAGGTTTAGATCCATTTTGGTTTAGAGTTAAGGCTTGGTGTTGAATAGAAAGATAGTTTTTTTTTTTTTCTGAGGAGTATAAATAGAGGGTTTTAGGTTAGAAAAAGGGGTTCTTTTTTTAGTGTTGACGACAAAGAAAAGAGAGGGATTTCTACTAGAAGGAAGCAGCAGCTTGAGAGGAGATCATTAAGCTCTTAAGGGAGTGACTGTTTTTTTTTTTTTTTTTTGGAAGCTCATCTTTGCCTTAGGTATTTTTCTACAACAGAGGAGTCCTTTTAGGGAGGCAATGAGAGGTATGATCTGGGCTTGATCTCGTGGGTGGGATCCCCA